ATTAGGTCATATTTTGTTTAGAAGTATTGAAATTCATCAAATTAATTATCATTATTACATTTAATGTATAAATATCATTATAAATTATAAGTTAACAAAACTTAAAAGTGATTTAAACATTTATTAACAAAACTCATTTAATAAATCTTTATTTAATTGTGTATTTAATATTTGAATAATTTTAAATTTTAATTTTTCATAATTTCAAGCTAGATTTAATCGTAGGATCAGCTATCAATTAGATTTAGTTAAGTTTTATCATCTATTTTTATTCATAATATATCAATTATCTATTTTTATTCATAATATATCAATTATTCACTTTAGCCCTTGAGCAAATTTGATTTCATAATTGGCATATGCTCCTGTTTGTTTAAAAAGTTAAATTTAAATCATCCTAAATTTAAATAAAAAATATATACTCAATTACTTATAATTACAATTTTACTTTAGAAATATTCTTAAAAGTTATTAACTAATTCAGCTATAAAGACAATAAAAATAAGATATTGAAGAAGAAGGAAAAAAAAATAGTCTTAAATCAAAAACTTTTAAATTGTTACGAAAAATAGAAAAAATATATTTGATTTTGATTGGGTTACTACTTCAATTCAAATTTCGATTATATTTAATCATTTTGGGTTTTAAATAATTACTAAGTTGTCAACTTTTTTAAATCAATTGACATTAGTTAAGTTAATTTAGTTTTATAATTATTTGTATTATATTATTTTTAATTAAATTAAAATTTAAAATGAATAAAAAATTTATGTATACTCAATTTAAGTTCTAAATTATTCCAAGTTTAAGTTAATTAATCCATATTATTTTTAGTTATACTTTTATGGCATCGGTAATAAACTTCAAAATAGAATAAAAACATGACACAATAAAAATTTAAGTGCAAAAATTATAGAGATACTAATGATAATTTAAAAAAAAAAACATTTTTATGCCCAATATTTACAGAGATTAAAAACTATATATTTTTTAGGATTTTGCAATTCGTATCGTAAAAATGTTAATCTAAACAAGTGTTCATAATCATTAATTTGCAAATCAAGTTGTTACTATATGGAACAACATTAGTACCAATTTGTGCATTTTATTTCTTTTAATCTCTGCACAACAATTTCTAACTCAAGAATTTATAATTGTTCATTTGTAAATCAAATTGCTATTGTATGAGCAACTTTAGTAACAATTTTGTGCATTTTATTTCTATAGCTATATAATTATCTCAATTATATACTTAAAAATAAAAAAATAAAGGCAAAATTTATTATTTTCATTGTTGGTAGCACACTTCAAAATTTTTAATTTTATATATGCAATTGTATTTTGCTAATATGTATGAAAATACACACTAATCAATCAATCAAAGCATTATCTTAATGTGTCCTATTTTACTATGAATTGAAATATTTGAATAATATCTTAAAATTTTGACTTAATATATATTATATAAATTAATTTAATTTAATTTTAATACTTACATTAGCATAAAAAAATATGATTTGAATTTATGTGTCTTAAACTAAGGATAGTAAATAAACATCATTTACATTATTGCTTTTCAAATCAGCTACATTTCAACTTTTTCTTCTTTCCTTTTTTATCTTATAAATTATATCATCTATCATACATTGTGATCACTTTAATTTTGGATATATGCAAATCAATAATAACATAGTAGTAGATAACTGATAATTTAGTAATCAGTCATTGAAAACTTAAAAATAATCAGTATAATTTAATAGTAATCATTAATAACTTAATAATTAATCAATGATAACATAATAGTAAATCATTAATAACTTAATAGTAAATTATTAATAACTTAATAGTAAATGAATAATAATTTAGTAGTCAAGAATTGATAATTTAATAGTAAATCAATAACAACATAATAATAAATATATAATAACTTAGTAGTAAATAAATTATATTTATAATTGTAAATGCATAACAATATAATAGTAAATTAGGGATAACTTAATAAAAAATAAGTAATAACTTGTTAGTTACTTATTGATAACTTAGTGATAAATGAATAATAACTTAATAGTAAATTAGTGATAATTTATGGTAAAACAATTTTGATTTAATAATAATTAATTGATAGTAATAAATAATATAATTTAGTAGTTAAGCATTGATAATTTAATAGTAAATCATGGATAATTTAATATAAATCAGTGATTATTACTTAGTAATTAATCATAGATATTTTAGCAGTAAATCAATGATGATTTTATTGTAAATAATTAAAAATTAAGTAGTAAATCAATGATAATATAGTAATAAATACATAATAATATAATAGTAAATTATTGATAATTTAGGAATAAATCACTAATAATATAATAGTAAATTATTAATAATCTAATTGTAAATCAATGATAATCTAGCAATAAATTAGTTAATCATTGATAATTTTTTAGTAAATCATCTATAAATTAATTATAAATTTATAATTATCAATATTTTAATGGTAAATCATCAACAATTTAATAGTAAATCATTTATAATTTAATAATAAATCATTCATACATTAATTGTAAAATCATTGATAACATAATAGTAAATAACTAATAACAAGCATTAAATCAATGATAACATAATTGTTCATTATTGATAATTTTTTCATACTTGAAATTGTTAGAGATTGAGCCATGATCTAGTAGTAACGAAACAAAACTTTCATCTTGGGGTTAGGATAAACCTACCATAAATTTATTCAATAAAAAAAATTCTAAATTTGAATTATGTAGTAATGTTATTATATAAAAAGAAAATTATCTCATATATTGTTGGACTTTTTAAACTACATATTTTATAGTTGTAAATGCATATATATTAGTAAATCAATGATAGGTTAATAAAAAAAATGATAACTTAGTTGTTAATTTTTGATAACTTAATAATTAATCAAGGATAATATAATAATAAATTAGTTATAACATATTAATAAATCGGTTTCAGTTTAATAGTATTTAATTGATAAACTTAATGATCATTTAATAGTAAATTAATGATAATTTAGTATTAGTCAATGAAAATTTAAAAGTAAATCAATATTATTTACTAGTAAATCATCTATAATTAAATAGTTAATCAATGATAATTTAATAGTAAATTGAGAATAACTTAATATAAATTAGTGATAACTTGATAGTGAATCATGAATAATTTAGTAATAAATTTAAAATAATTTTGTAGTAAATAATTAAAAATTAAGTAGTAAATCAATAATAACATAATAATAAATGTATAATAATGTAATATTAAATTATCAATAATTATTAATAACTTAATAGTAAATCACTAATAAAATAGTAATAAATCAGTAATAACTTAGTTACAAATCATCGATAGTTTAGTTATAAATTAATAATAATTTAGTTATTCATTGATAACATTGAAGTAAATTATTGATAAATCAATAATAAATCAATTATAACTTTACAATAAACAATCAGTAACTTAGTAGAACAATTTAGTAGTAAATCATTCATAATTTAGTAGTAAATCATTGATAATTTAGTAATAAATCATTAAAATCTTAGTAGTAAATCACTGATAATATAGTAGTAAATCAATTATAACTTAATTGCTTAAGTTATAAAGAATTGAACCTTACTAGTAGACACAAAACAAAAACTTTCATTTTAAAAAGCTAGAATAAACCTATTATGAAACTATTTAATAAAAAAATTCTAACTTTGAATAAAATAATAATGTAATTATATAAAAAATTTTATTGTATACTAAAATGAAACCTGCACTTTGTTGCAAGAAACTATTATTAAATATATAATGACACAAGTTTTATAAAAAATTACTAAAAATATATTATAAGTTATCAAAATTACATCAAGTTATTATCAAAATTATATTATAAATTACCAAATCGAAGGTTATAAAAACTTTTGTCAATGATTATCGAACTTCTAACAAAAATTACCAAAACATATAAATTTTACTCATATGATATCAAAATTGAAGTTAAAGTATTATTATTATTATTATTATAGTACCAAAAAATTTTTTATTGAATTGAACTTTTAGAAATAAAAATTTTACTTGCATCATACACGGACAAAAAACTAGTGTATATATATATAAATATAAATAGCAGTCAACTGACACCGTTTCAGGAATCATTATTTAATTTTTTATTTTTTTCCTTCTGTTAATTAATTATCACTATTCACTGCCATTTCCAAATTCCGAAAGCTTTGATAAAGACTTTCTGGCTATATTAATTACTTTGCGTCAGATGTGTTGAACTGTTTGTTAATGGGCAGCCAATAACCGTCGTAGTTTATTATAAAGTGTGTTGAACGATTGTTAATTCAGAAAAAAGTTCAAATCCTGATATCCCTAAACCAAGGCCACAAAGGCAATAAGAACAATACCTTGAGGCAACAAAGAAATGAATGGTATAATAATAATAATAATAATAGTGGAAGAAAATCAGGGAGAAAGGGGATTAAAGACCAAGATCCGTAATTTCTCCTATCAGAACTTGTTTGGTTGAGATTCTGGACTGCTAGAATTAAACCTATATACAAAGAACGATGACAAATTAAAGACAAATAATAACCGATCACGAAGTTAAAAGGGCCGGGGAAGAATATGAAGAGTGAACAGTTGACGAAAAGAAAAAAAAAAAAAAAATCTAAGAAGCCCTGGAAGGAAAGGAACTAATATTCTTTAATTCCTTAAATTTAAACCAAGCAAAGTAAGAGAGAACGGAAAAAAAACTTATCATCAATAAAATTAACAATTGCTAGCTTCTCCTACTTACATCCGATATTTCTTGCACTCTTTTATCTCCTCTTCTCTCACATACGCTGCTGCTGGTATATGATATGTCCATTTTAGTTATGTTTTTATTTAAAATTATGTTTATTAGGATAAGTAGTTAGGATTATTTTGAATTTATTATTATCTAGTTTTTCATTTTAATTGAATTAATTTGAAAACTAGGTAAATCTAGTCTATAAATTCATTTTTAAGTTTGTAAATGTAAACAAGTCTTAATAAAAAGTCCATAAACATTGGAGTTCTCTCTAAAGAAACTTTCCTCTTAATTTTCTCCTTTTTCTTGTACACAACAGTACAACCCAAGCTTATTTCTTCTGTCACAATTCAATCTCTCTTTCCCGATTTCCTTTGAAACGGAATTCCTTATTCACCAACAAATCAATAAATTGCAAACAAGTGATGATAGATGCAAGTGGGACGTCTGCCATCCAAGAGTCTGTTTTGTCTCAGACGACTTTCTGTGTCAGCGAAGCTATTTTGAAGAAGAATGAAGAAAGAAGAAAACAACGAGGATTGTGAAGAAGAGGGTGATACTGAATTATTGAAGGTTGAAAGGAAGGCTAAGGCAAGGACTAAGAAATGGAATTAGGAGAAGATACAAAATGGAGAAATGAGGAAGCCTTTTGACGATAGAAGGTTTTTCGAACTAAGTTGTTAGGTGTTTTGTTGAGCTTCTGCACACATAGGTACATATGGTACATTTTTAGTGATGGAGCTGCCAAGGTTATTGAACCATGGCCAAAAAGGAGGGTGCCCCATTTCCTCCTCCATTGGGAGTGCTTGCATTCTGTCTTTGAAATTCTATCTTATAAGCTATCTTTCGCTCTTCTTCCAATTCGTCGCCATCTTCATCCTCGTCTTCGTCTTCATCATGATCCATATTATCACTATCAGGTTCATCAATCCTATCATAGCCATCCACCAACAAGGATTGTCCTTGATGGTGTTGTTGCCGGTGCATCCCCCGCTCTTCCATCAGCTCCCTCACAATGTCTTCTGGCTTCAATGCCAACCCAAGAATGAATAGGCATCATATAAAATGGTTTATCAAAATGCAATGGTAATTGAAAATCTCAAACTTAAATGATGGTGGTGAGTGATAAAAGAAAATAAAGACCCTGGTAAGTAAAATAAATTTACCTTCTTCGCAGCTCCACCATTTCCTTCTCCAAAGAGACTCCCAGGTAAATGTTCTTTGCTTGTCACCACATCAGCTCCGGTTTTGTCTTCAGATTGATCAGTAGGCTGCGTCAATTGCGGCGCTGCCATGATTGGTGGGGCGTCACTAGTTTCTTGATGCTGTTGTGACGTTTCTTCTTCAGGCCTATTCCGGTCACCAAAGCTACTGGAACCACCGCTAGTCCCACCTCCAAGTATTTTCTCACGGTAAAGGAAATCGAGTTGGTGAAAATAGGGGCAGGTTTTGGCATCCTCGGGACGTTTCTTATTACTTTCTTTCACCTTCTTGAAGTATTTGTTGATGTTCTCCCATTTTTCCTTGCATCTTTTGGCGCTTCTCCTGTAGCCCATCCTGAACATACCAGTGGATATTTCTTCCCAAAAAGGGCCCTTGGGCCCAGCCTCTTGATACGTGGTTTCAAGCCCACTCCTCAGGTTTATCAGTGCAAGAACTTCAGCTTTAGGCCATCTAGAAGAGGCAGGCTCCAAGCTCGCGCTCCCACCAATCTCCTGTGGTGGGACCTGTTGTTCCGGGATAGCTATTAGTACTTCTGAAGAAATAGGCTGTTGATGATGCCTCAAAACTTCAGTATTTTGAGGTTGCTGTTGTTGCTGCTGCTGCCGATGTTGATAGTGCGACTGTGACTGTTGCAGTTGCTGCGGTTGCGAGTTACGCTGTTGTTGTTGTGGTAATGACGGTGGCTGATGCGATGGTGGAGTTGCCGCAGGAATAGGAGCTATTGGTGGAACAACTGGCACCGCCGGTTGTGTCAGTGGAGGCGGAGCAGCGGGGATAGTAACAGTTGTGGGTAACCATATAGTCTGACCAGTAATCTTCTCCAAAAAAGAAATAATAGCAGCATCCCTGGAAGCAGCAATGGCACGTTCTTGAGCCATTAGTTCATGTTCGTGAGTTAATCTAGCCATCTCTTGTCTTTTCCAAGCCTCTTCTCTTATCATCCTATCTTGCTCTCTCCTCTCTATGGCTTCTAAAAACCTCTGCTGCATGGCTTCTTGTTTCTGCATGACCTGTTTCATTAGAACCTCGAAGAATTCCATCATCCTCCTGGTGGTACTACCACCCCCTCTTGACGACTGCCTTTTACGTTTACGACTAGTGCCAGCCATGCTCGACGGTTCTCCTCCAACTTCATCTTCTCCGTCATCATCGTCTTCAAAGCCTTCAGAAGAGGAAGAGCTATTAGAAGAGAAGCTGATTCCAAATGGAGCGGCTGTGGTGGTGATAGGAGGTGGCACTTGCGCGGGAGGCATGGGTAACACAGAGGATGACATTCTGATAGCGGCTGTAGGTGGAATTCTGACAGAAGAGATGGGCATAGGGATCCCAACCGAAACGGGAGCCACGTCTAGGCTGGCGGCGGTAGTGGCAGTGACAATTATCATGGGTGTTGACACGTTGGCAGCAACAGTGGGAGAAGTCGTATGGAGAGCCTCTAGCTGGCTGAAAAACTTGTAACTCTTACCATCTTGACGCCCAGCTCGGCCTTCTTTTGTTCGCTTGTAGTACTTGTGGACGTTCTCGAATTTTTCCTTGCACTTTTTGGCACTCCTTTTGTAACCCAGCTCCGCTAGCTTCCTGCGAGCCACCCCCGTGGTTTTTTCATATAATAATCAAATATATATATATATTAATTTGGCAATTATCTGAACCACACCTTTTGCCGTGTTACTGTTAACTAATGATAAGTATGGAGAGAAGGAATTAATGAAGTCCACGGTAAACCTGCTTCTAGTAATACTCTTTCCTGCTTGAATGAACATTGAACAATACGAAATATGAAAATGAAAATACTTTACTGCCTCCATTCTCACACAGTTACCCAACTGACCTCACCTGTCCTTTCCATATAATAATCAATGATAATCTGATCTGGTGTTTATGTATGTAAGTATTATTGATGTGAAAAGGAGTGAAAACCCCCACCCCCCCCTCCCCCCAAAAAAAAGAGTGCTGATGGCCTTCCTTCCATGGTGTCTAAAAAATTTGATAAGTAGTTAAAAGAATTCATCTCGGGATTTTCAAATTTCCGAATTTCGATTTGGAATTGATTAAAATAAGATACCCAGGCCCGGGCAGGAGGAGGCAGGCCAAGGTCAGGTGCCAGGAACGCTTTTAATTTAGTACTTAAATACTACCAGTAGTAAGTTAATAAAGGAGAATATATATAGAAAAGAAAAGATCGGATTGGCTAGAGCTCATGCAGCGGATCTGGGCGATTTCTTAATTGTAAGAAAGGAGGTGCTAACAAAAAGAAAGAGATACCCCATCTCGTGAGTGGTGATGGAAACAGATAGAAGCCATGTGCGTTTGTGTGGAGAATGAGAGAGAGAGAGAGAGAGAGAGAAGAGAAGGGGGCGAGGAGGTCTTGAGGAAAAACCGATCCCATCAGTATTTCATTTCTATAACTAAGCTGTTGGAGAGCAATGCATTATGGTATGATTGAATTTTTACTAGTAGTTGAATTTAGTTTTATTTTTGGCAAACAAGATTTAGAAAAGGAAAAAAAAAACTCTACAAATCTGTAATTTGGGTTGCGACCGTGTGACATGGGGGCGAATTACTTTACCTGGAAACATCTTCCCAAAGAGGGCCCTTGACGGTGGCATCACGGAAAACAGCATCCATATCTGACCTAATCTTGAGAAGAGCAAGAGTCTCTTGACGGGGCCACCTATTGCCACTCGAAACTCCAGCTGCTCCTCCTCCGCCACCTGCTCGGTCCCCTTCGTCTCCTCCCTCATCTCCTCCACCACTTGCAAACCTTATGAACTCGTCCAAATTCCCGGTGGCAGGCGGTCTACTACTTATGGGCGATGCCGCTTCCACTAACTGCTCCGACTGCTCGCTTACCATGTGGCTGCTGCTCACTGCACCCGTTGTTGGAGCACCCATCTCCTCGTCTTGAGATTGATGCCCTCCTCCTCCTCCTCCTCCACCACCACCTCCTTGCTGCATCTCCTTTTAATTATGTTGTTTTCCTTCAGTGATGTCGATAAACAAGCCGGTTGGCAAAAGTTAATCAATGGTGCATGAAGATCTTTCTTCTTCTTCTTCTCATCAATGATAACACTCGACAATTCAGTTGAATTATGTCTTGTTGTGTGTATTGCCCTCCTCTCCCTCCCCAACAAAGTTGCGATGCGAGAGGGGGGAGCTGTTGCTTTTTGGCGGTGATGGGTATACTGAAAAAAAAAAAAAAAGAAAGAAAGAAATGGACCTAATTCAAACGATAAGAGAAACAAAACAGTAAGAAGAGAAAGTTTGGTGAAAGATGGGGTGATGTTAAATACAATTGACGAATTTTTTTAAAACAATAATAATATTAATTATAATAAAAAAGGATTAAGAGAGAGAGAGAGAGAGTAGACAACTGGAAAGGAAAGATTGAAAGCCGGAAAGAGTATTCCTACGAGTTAGTGCTGCCCCTTTCAGATTTAGATTTTTATTCCTTCTTCTCTTTTCTTTTCTAATCTCCTTTCTTTATAAGTAATTTTTTTTTCTTTAATTGATGGGAAAATTAAACTAGTATTAGTAGAAAAGAGAAAGAAAGGAGGAGGGCCGCAGTTAAGGAAGAAAGAGAAGAGAAGCAGAAGGGCATAATCATCATCAACTACAGTTGCTGCACTCTGCAAAATTTGGACGGAATAAAAGAGAAAGAGAAAGTAAAGGATTGAAAGAGAGAGAGAAGAGATAAAAATGAATGAAGATGACGATTATGAGGATGATGGTGATTAAGAGAGAGAGAGAGAGAGAGAGAAGAAGAAGAGGGAGAAATTAAATGAAATGATAAAACAAAGGAGATGCTGTGTTGTCAGCGGCTCTCACTTTGCAGCTAATAATTGTTAAAACCACTTTTGCCTACATTTGTTTTTATTAATTTATTAATTTTTTTTTTTTATGAACACAGCTAATAGTATATAATAAAATATATATTTTTTTATAAAAAATAAAAAGAGATAAAAATATCTGTATTCTCTAGTCTTCGGAATAAAAATCTAGTGCCTGACCAGCTCTTCCTCCCGCTCCATCCATTAATGTCCCGTAAATTGACCAACTCACTCTCATTCTCATTGGCCATTAATAATTGGGTTTTTGCATCGGATTATTGGCCTCTTCCCAGCAGGTGAACCCTGGGATTTGCCTTTTTTTTTTTTTCGTTTTACCAAAGTTTAAGGTACATGGAAGGCATGCAGGAATTAGAATTAGAATTAGAATGAGAATATGTACGTTTGCACTAAACCAGAGTAGATGCATACTTAATAATTAACCTAACCAAAACCGAATATACGAGCAAAGCAATATAGATGTAGCTTTGGTAATTCATGCACGTACGCTACTTAATTGGTGTGTGTTTCAGAAACTGAATTCCAATAGAAAAGAATTTTAATCCCACACTCCTTCAATCCCCTGTCAATCATCCCTTTCTTTCCCTTTAGGCCTCAACCATGTTAAACCAATTAACCAAATTAATCACCAACCAAAACGGCATATGGTGAGTGCCCCAGGCCAGCTTGTCAGTCTGAGAGGACTTTAGTTAAACAAACTTGTCGGCCCCATCTCCTCCCAATTCTTGCTAAGCTCCATGTGATCAGATTGGGGGCCTTTAGTTTTATTATTAATCACCATAACCTCCTGTCCTCTTTCCTTGATTAAGTACATGCACCCAAATACCTGTATAATCTTTCTTTGCTTTTTCTTAATTACAGCGCTAAGTTATTATTAATAATATTTTAAATTATACTATTTTATATTATATTTTGATAATATAAGTCAATAGTAAAATGGATCCAATGTATTATTAGATTATAAAAGCCCGTATCAATATGTTATTGTTAGGTCAGTAACATTAATCATGGCACAGCTGCCCTTTTATGTTTTATAAAGCAAGCAATTCAATAGCCAATAATAAGTAAATTTTAACTCATCATCAATGTTAGTTTTTTTTATCTAATTGAAAAAGATTTTAATGGTAAATATATTTTATGATTAAATTTTTAAAAAATGTAATAAATAAAATGATATAGACAACACGGTCAGAATTCTCCCACGCGCAATCCAAATGAATTCTAATATTGCAATAAGAGAAAGAAAAATGTGAATGGGAGATAAAATTAAAGAAAATAAAAAAATAATACTACGGCGACGGTCTACAGTTAAGATGTTGGAAAATAAAAAATTAAAAAAAGAACAGAAAAGAAGGGACAGGAACAGATTGGGACAGCTGTAAGAGGGCCCAAAACATGAGGTGGTAAGAACGTGCGTGGCGTTTCTCCAGGATTTGTGAAATCCCCCAACTGCCAGGCATCTTCCCCATTATGCCCAAATCGGTGCACATGCCTCTTGCCTCTCCCTCTCCCTCTCCCTTTGCCTTTGCCTTTGCGTTTGCCTTTTCATTTTCATTCCCTTAACTTTTTATAATTAAAATGATGAAAATTAAATTTTTGTCACTTTAAAAAAAAAAGTCCAAAAAATTAAAAATATTAAAATTTAAATCTCAAATTTAGTAGACATTACTTATTAAAGTAATTTTATAAATTAATTAAATTAAATAAATTCTATCATTAAAATTAAAAGATGAGTATTACACTATTAGATCACACAACTGATTTCATTATTCAAATTCACATGTTCTTATTCTCTATTTTATACCTCTACTTGCCGTTCACACGCAGTTCCAAATACAGTTTCCTAACAACACTTTGTATTTCTCATTTACGATAATAACAATAATTATTCTTTGATTGTTGGTACATTTTGAATTCATGTTTCTGTTTATTATTATTATTATTATTATTATTATTATTGTTGCATAGAGGTCAGTAAATTTAAACTTTAATTAAAGTGTTATTGATTTCTGAATAAGACGGATTTTTTTTCTTTTAAGTTATAATCGAACCTCATATGAAATCAAATCAGTTCAACGTGTGTAGGCATAGATCTTTTCTAGTAAGTTCCTGCCGCAGACTAAAAAACAAAAGAAAGAAAAAAAGAAAGCCTCCCTAAACAAATGTAGTTTGCAATGGAGCTCGGTCGAAAAGTCTCGAGGTAAAAAGAAAATTGCACTGAAAATTTGTGTGGTGAAAAAGACATAATAGTGGTGGGAATTTTGCAAAGTAATGAAAAAGTTTAAGAAAACAACAGTTGAAATGCTATGGCAAAATAAATATCTGAAAAACCATGCCACATGGAATAATTCAAAAATCAAAAGGTTGTATAAATAGTTGTCTTTTCAAAGTCTCAAACGCAAATTCTAAACCACAAAAAACAAGCAGGTAGCTTTTTGTGTGTTTTTAGTTGTAGTATTTGCATTCCATTGAACTCAAATTAATGAATTCAAGCAAAATAAAGAAAAAAAAAAAAAAAAAAGGCACTATGTTATGGTGGTCCAAATCCTCTTTTGGTGTTCATAACTTCATCATATAACAATGTCGAACAAACTCTCAAATCTAGCTCTAAAGCTGAAACGTGAAAGCAATTTGGGCTCAAGAAAAGAAGAAAATTTCTGTAGAACTGTAAATACTTTGTTTTTTTAATTAATAGAAATCCCACTGAGTGTGCATTTTTGTATTTTTGTTGCAAATGGTCTGAAATATTAAAAAGACAAAAGAAAAAGGTTCCTGACCCAACGGGCTAATACACAACGCGCGAATGATAGGAAGTGATTCACTGCTTAGTTTGTCAAATTGGAATCGAAGTGCGAATAAAAACAAAAGGCGAAAATGAGATAACAGCTGAAAAACGCCTCTACATCAAATCAATTATTAATAAAAAATTACAGTGATTAGAACGCGGGTTTAAGCACATAAGCAAAGAAGACACTCGTCTTTATCAGTTCTTTGTTTTTTCCTCTAGACTCGTCCTTAGCAGTTTTTATTTCACGTGTTTGGCAAACGCTTCAGCATACAGGCGTGGGTTACTGATTGCTTTGTCGAATCTAAATTGACTTGCATCTGACACTAACTTTAGAGAATATCAGAGAATTGCCTCAATGTTAAGGAAATCAAGTCAAGATTTACAGGCTGAAATGGCGGCAAAAGAGCAGTCTAAGCAGGAGGACTATATCTGATATCTATAGACAAGTTACCTTCAAGGAAAGTTTCTTACCCTACTAGAAAGTGGAAACAGGAAAGGAAAGAATAATGGATGGAATCTCTACTCTTCAAGGATCTAATACTCAGCAACATCACGAATGTCCACCATAAATCAGGAGAAGGAAACAATATCAGGAAGGAGACAATGACAGCTAAAAGCAACTAGAAGAAATAGAACATTATGAATGAAGGGATTTAACATTTGCAATGGTAGTTGCAACTGACACAGTACCCTAATGTTCATATATTATGATGTCGAATATTATTGATATCTTACATGGATGCGTCTCCATCACATAAGTAAAATGAGAAAAGAATACTTTCAAGAGTTGGATACGTCCACAATTTGAGAAATGACATTACACAAGGATTGAGATGTATCAGATCTATATTTGTCTTTCTTACAGTAACTAGCTACTAAAATTTTATCTTCTCCCAAAATTTTCTGCCTTTCTATATGCATTAACAAAGACATGCAGCAGACTTCACCCAGAATCCAGGTCATTCTTTCCCTTAAGATACCAAAAAAGTGATCACTCTGAAAAGAAGTGAGAATGCATATAACTATCAGAGAATTGAAGGGCACTCACCTCATTTGGTCACAATGAGATCAAAACATTATCTTTACTAAAAAGAAAACAAAAACCCGACCCGTTCTACTCTACAAAGTCACGGTTGCGAAATGCACGAAACGAGTATACCCTTTACCACCCTTCCCCTCCCTTAAAAAATGTAATAGCAACCATGGCACTGCTGAGTTCCATAACAATAGAAGCAAGTTCCATGGAATCCAAATGACTAGGGTACTTTTCATACTAAATTATATAATATTGTAGGAAAAAGAAAATCTTCCCAAAATAGAAGGGAGGGAAAGTCACTTGAATGCAACTAACTAAAAGTTTAGATGTGTCCCATCTAATCAAATTAACCAAAATTATAATGGGCCTCAGCTACGAACTTACTGTTTCGTCCACTTATTATTAGTGGCTTATGGTTCATAAAATATCAGCCAGTTAGCTGGAGTGAAGTATCCTCCTTCAATGCACTCAAAACTTTCACCAGTCGTAAAATGCTCACTACGAAAGCACAAAAATCTATGGTGCAAGAAGTAAATGTAAAAAGGTGCATCTAACATGCAATTGTTAGCCTTTCTAGCCAGTGACTGAGTTACACCTACAATTTAGCAAATGTGCCCCTTGTAAGTCTTACTGTGACATCAAATGCCTTGATCATATTGACTTCTTAAAATTCTAGATTCACCCATTGTCCCAAGCAGGTCTACACCATCAGTTCCTTCTCAACCAAGTCAGAGAACCATTAGTTTTTAAACTACTTGAAGTAACTTCAAATGATTTAAGTTAAATTCCTAGTGTTTAGCAGAAGTTCCATTGAAATAGTAAGGTTGTTCACATAGAGCATTTCCAAGTAATTCAGTTAAACAAACCTCTAAATTAACTTTTTCTTCTTTCTTTGACCTGAGACCTTTTAGTGGAATTCATAATCATCATTTTCACACATTAATATGCTGTACCTGTTCTAGTACCTTTGTTTTGCATATGCTAGCTTTGCTTTGGGACTAACAATTCAACACAGTGTCAATCATGGGAACGCCAAAGAAAACCAACATTTTACACCATCTATTCCCAAAATTGAAGTTCAGCTATGTGGAGAAAAACTGAAGACAAATTGGATATTCTGAAATTGCAAGGAATGACTGAATATACAAAATTAAGCACCACTAACATAAAATTATCATATTCTCTGGCTCTAACATATAAATCAAGCAACCACCCAAATCATCAAATTTCAGTACATCTAGTAATAATCAAAAAGGAAAAAGGAAACAGTATTGAAGAAAAGAAGAAATCATACCAGAATTACAAACCCTGTATAAAATCCTAATTTAAATTGCAAAATAACGTAGAAACTATGTGCGCTGGGACACCTACTAACTTTGGGTTTTCTATGACGACACTCTACCCAAATGAATGGCCAAAAGAGAGATATAAATATGCAGCCATTGCAGCAGCATCACCTTAATTTTAACAGTTAGTCAACAAATTTTCAGGCGAGCGCACATGTTTATCTAATGAGAAAACATAGTGTTTTTGTTCTTTCTCTTTCATCCTAAGGAAAGAACTCCTCGACATAGAGAAAAGAACCAGGCATGTTTAACGTTTAAATTGCATCCTTGCCATTAAGAAGAAGGTCGATAGTTTATAGGCCTTCTCTCTTTAGTTGTTAATCCCATGAAGGACCAGCCACAATTCCAAAATGACTAGCATGACAATTATAAGCTCAGTCATTAGAACTTACATTTAGCTAAGTCAAGCAACAGAGTACTGGATGTAGCCTTTCCCCCAGGCAAGATGCCTAATATTTACAACGCTTTGGTAGTTAAGGGTCGAGATACCATTGGTCAACAAATTAATGTAACTTGTGAGGTACAGCAATTATTAAGAAAAAATCAAGTTAAAGCTGTAGCTATTAGCACTACAGATGGTCTAATGAGAGGAATGGAAGTGATTGACTCGGAAGCTCCTCTAAGTGTTCCAATCAGTGGAGCGACCCTAGGATGAATTTTTAACATGCTTGGGGAGCCCTCAAGTCCATTTGGCCACCTAAGCTTTTAGCTAAGGCAGTAAGAGATGGCTGCAAGCCAAAATGTTGCAGACACAATAGATTCATTTTACTTTTGGACATTTAAGATAAAATAAATGCTAATTTAGACAGGTCCATATCTGCTTTCTTCCATCAAACAAAATCATGTAGGATATTTGTTTTTAGACAAACAGAAATAACAAGTATGATATACAGCAAAAAGAAGAAACATGAAGTAAAAGGTAGAATATTTTGACTAATGCCCCAACTTTCACAAAATAAATAAATAAATAAATAAAATTAAAAACTTCTATTATCAGAATGCCAGATCAGGCATATCACAAACCATAGAAAGGATAGAACTGCAAAAGAAAAGGAATGAAAGGCATACCAAGCAAGATGACCTAAGCATAAAGAAACTGCATGTTCATTGGTTTATATTTCATGGCATAACATTATTGATAGACATCCCAGTTTCACTTCCACTGGTTGACCTCATTTAAACTATTTATAACATTATTATAGGGGAGACAATATATCTCATTAGTTTATAGCAATCATTGATTAAGATCAGAAAAGCAAAAGAAAATTATAGAATTCCCTAAATATCTAGCTCTTAGAGTTCAGAAAAATCACACAGCTAGTAGGTTCATACCTAAAAGTTTAGAAGCAACTAATTATCTCATTAGTTTATAGCAATCATTGATTAAGATCAGAAAAGCAAAAGAAAATTATAGAATTCCCTAAATATCTAGCTCTTAGAGTTCAGAAAAATCACACAGCTAGTAGGTTCATACCTAAAAGTTTAGAAGGAACTAATGAATCAAGTGGAAGGTCCTTAAGGGAAAAGTTAGTGGCACTACAAGAAAAGGCGAACAAATAGATCAATGGAAGTAATGGATGTCCTAACATATTTAAGATGCTCAAAGAAGTATGTTTTCTTTCCTACACAGGGTCAAAGACAGGATTTACATCAGAGAAGATAAAACAAGAACAATTTAATTTAATTAGTACAACCACATTCACTCAAGTCACCGCAGCTATTTTAAACTTAGCAGAAGTTAGTCTTGACTATAGTTCTTTTATTAAGCATACTTTTAAAGAAATGAATTATACTGTAACCCCCAACAGATTGGGACAAAGCATCCACAGGGCTATTAGAATAAGGTGCAGAGTGATTTCTAGAGTTGATCGAAGTTTAAAAACTTTAGATGACTGTTAGTAATAATGATCCATTTATTCAAAAAAGAAAAATGAAAAAACAGCAACCACCTGACTAAGGATTATGCTACTATGATATAACATGTAACTCAAGCAAATAAGCGTTAATTCAGTCATATGGAATCAATCATGATCAACTAAAAAGCTCATCTTGAGCTATGATGAGGACATATAATGCCTTGAATCCTAATTGACTTCCTATAATATAACATGTAACTCTGCTATTTCAAAACACTTTTTTGTCCTCCTGTTATAACATGTAACTCTACTTATTCCTTTCTGATAAAGAAGAAAATAACATTATATAATCGATAGGATTTCACAGTCCAAATACTTATGAGGCAGGTCTCATATTTGGAAAGGAGAAGAAAATAAAAGGGAACTATATAGTCTAGCTAAGCAATATGCTATACTTGGTTTGGAAGAGAGACAAAAAGCTCATAGGCTCTACTTAAACAGAAGTTCAGTTCAATACAGCTTGCATTAAATGGTACACTAGGATTTTAATTAAGCAGAGTTGAGTAGATAACTACAAACAGACAATGCCTTTTGCAGAGATCCATCTAGAGATCCATAAGTGTTAAAATTTAAAATAGACGAGGACATCAAAACTAGTTTACTGATGTATTTTGTTCAATCTGTTTTGATATAAGATTCTTCCCCTTTAGTGACCTATTATATTCCCTGCCTTCTCTGAACTAGTCATTGAGCAACTGTAAAATTGTTTACATAGCCAATCATCTAGATGATGAGATTAGTTTTATTCAAGACTAAACATCTCCTTCAATTGGAGCACACTCAAGCAGAAACTATGAAAATTAATTCAGGCAAGCACAATACCCAGAATCATGAGGTGCTCCAAAAATAAAATTAACTAATTTAATTTCATATCCACAAATAACAACCAACTCCACTGCATCAGCAAGTTCAAAATGTTAGCTATCAGTATATTACGAATTACCTTTGAACAAAAATGATGGCAAAGAATTGAAAGACTGAACTGAAGTTGCAACCTGATCTTCTACTCTATCAACTGTGTACCACAAAACAATCCAATATCTGGTATAGGGAAGTAAGGTTATGAGAAAAATGTCCAATGTCAATCTCAAGGCACACCCCAAAACTTCCAGGCAGCCACAAAGCATAAAACACAAAATAGTTTGAGGTCCGTCTTGAAGCCTCTATATATACTCAATAGTATCTGTTGATCATTCACAGAGAATCTGTAAAAGAACTGACAGCTCCCTTCTCACACTGCCCAACTGTTAATCTAAGGAGTTCATCACCGGTATTGTTTACCTTGCAACATAATCGACGAGGCACCTACCAGAGTACATGGAAAATAATCATGAAACTGAAAAGGCCAGAAACTACCTGAAGGAGAAAAAATTTAGGAAACAATTATGAGAACACCACGCACCAGATGCCAATTCTTTCCAAGAGGATACCCTAAAACCTGGACATTCTGCACATATTGCAACGGAGGGGAATGTGGAAAGCAGAAAACCTTTCTTTTTAGATCATCTTTGGCTTTGGCCCGTGCATATGACCCCAATGTAGCATTACCATCTTTCTTTACATCTTTTAGGAAAAACATAACCGGCTTTTTGCAAACAGATTTGTAAGAATCCCTGATGTCGAGATCAAATTCATTGGGGTATCGTAATTTATTCCAGGCAATGTAGGTATGCTCTGAACGTTCTAGCTCACGAGGTGGCACAATATTTGGGAACACTTGAACAACATAACCCAGTGATACTGAAAAAGTGAGATGCCGAACATGATCATAACAGATTGATCGTTGTAGGAAACTCATAGGTTCAGTTCTCATAGCTTTTGTAAAAAGTTTTAAACTGTCTAACGAACTTAACCCAGGATAAAATGGATCCACATATTCAACATGGTGGATTGAAACGAATGGTGCAATTGGATGAGAAGATAAAAGACCGTGCGCATTTCCTCTAATATCCCACTACCAAAACAAAAATAGTAATTAGTTAATCATATGTAACTATATTATTAGCAGGATATTCAATAGTTTATTTATGACTACCTGATGAAAGCCATGCTCTCTGGTGAGAGGAACACCGAGCTCAGTAATGCAGGTGTGTAGACGATCATCGCTTCCATAAAGCTTCGGATACCTCTCGATGCACTCATCATGGAAGATGGAGAGAGCATCCGCAAGAGGATAACTAATGGCAATGCCGCCACCGCCAAATGCCATGGAGTGACTGAAATACGCGTTGGCGGAGTGACTTTCTGAGGGCGTTCCGATGTACATCATCTCGGAAGGATCGTATTTGTTTAAGACGGACAACAGATTGTCCACGTTGAAAACCGTGTCGTCGTCTCCTAAAACGAACCAGCGGACGTTGGGGAGACGAAGGCGGAAGGATTCCGTTAAAATGCGGGAGATTCGGAGACCGGAAGGATGGCCCGTTGGGTTAGTGTAACGGAAACGTGAGATGTCTTCGGAGACCATGAGTGGTGGAAGCAAATCGTCGTCTTCTTCGGGTGCGACCTTCTCTTCTAACCAAACGTGACCTCGCATTTCCAACGGTCGCCACCAAAGCCTAACCAACTCTTTCCGTCGTTTCCATAGATGCGAGGATCCTGCTATTCCAAATACGATGTCGTTTAGCAAAAGCGCTTGTTTCTCATTTTCACGCTCCGAGAGGCTGCGGTTACGAGGAGATGCTGGTGGCGATTCAAACCAGGGAGGGGGAGGAATTAATCGGCGATTGGGAGAAGAAGACCAGGGGAGCGAACGGGAAAGGTAATTGGGACTACCTTCCCAGTCCTTCAAACGACGCCAGCAACGAGTGGTCGTGCCGGAGAAAACAAGAGAGAGCCATGCAGTGGTGGAGATAAGCAACGCGGCAACCGCAACCACGGCGGTTCCTGTACGGCTCTGACGCCAACGACGACATCGGCTTCTAGGGAGGCGTGGGAACCGCTCATTGGTTACGGAAAGGTTATTATGGCAAGACAGCATCATGACGTTGAGCAGCCTCACCCTCAACGCTCATTTCCGCCACCGCCCAATCAAAACGGCAACTGAAAAAAAAAAAAAAAAGGCAAAACAGCGGGGAAAAGCGAAAGTTTTACGTACAAAAAGGATGAAAAGATTTGAAGGGTTTAAGATTTGGTAAAGAAGTTTGCAGTTGGAAGGACGTAACTGAATTTAACTGAAATCAAGAAAAATTGGAGGTTTTCCTCTCTCTGTTCCCCAATTTTTTTTTTGGATGTTTGGACATATATTTTTTTTTTCTGATTGGAAATTTTGCACTCCGTTTTGCAAATTCTGAAACTACCAAAACGCATAAGAAATTGGGCCAGATGGAAGGATACAGCCGTTGCGTTTTTGTAGCTTTATTTATACTGGAAGCTCGACTTTCCGCTGTGTCTGGTGTGTCCTGGTTGTTGTCCCCAGAAACCATTTTCCAACGTCCTCCAAAATTCCTCTTGGAATTGAAGAAGCCAATTTCTTCTTTTTGTAAAAGAGTATTTGTTTTTATCTCATCTTGGGCTGCTTTATGCCCAAATACTGCTAATTGCCAAATTAGCAGTTGCTGTAGCCAGGTATTTTACAAGTATTTTTTTTCCTCAAAGGCAAATTAATGCTAAGCTTTGACACAAGAAATCTGTAGATGCATTTTGTCAGCATGCTAATTGCTCTCCAAATTTCCTTTTTGGAAAACAGTTCCCACGAAAACTCGAATTCAACATGATAAATGCGAGCAATGGCACTCCAAGTCCCTGCTCCTTAGCTAGAGGTGTATCAACCAAAGTACTGTTCAGTTATTTGGGATTGATTCCATGAATTTTTGTTCATTATGAGTTAGATTGAGTTACTCAAATTTGAAATTTAAATACCTGATTTGAAAGTTTCCTGAATTTAATTTAATTTTTATTTTTAGATATATTTAATATGTATAAATAAATAAATAACAAAAATATGATAACTAATCAAATCAATCTAACCAAATTCTTGTATAAATGTAAAATTAAATTCAATTTAATTCCAGTAATAAATAAACTCGATGTATTATATTTATACCTTTATTTCAATCTCAAGGTCTAAGAAAATTTAATTTTAAACGCTCATCATTATTATTTAAAAATAATAAAATAATTTATATCTAATAAAATTTTAATTTATTATAATTCAATAAAATGAAATTCTTTTAAATTGAATATCAAGTTGAAAATGGGTTAATATTTTTTAGTCGGACCGATGTCAAAATTTAAGTTATATCTGACAGATTCATGTATATATAAAAAATATTTTATTTTTTATTTTTTATATATATGAATTATATTAATAAAATTATTATTTAATATTTTAATTTAAAATATTAACTTAATAAAAATATCATATTTAGATATAATTAAAATACAATTTATATTTAAAAATATTGTTTTATTAATATTATAATAAATTAAAATTATTAAATTACTTTTAAATATTAATTAATTTTGCGTTGAATTAATTACGATCTATGAATAGAATCAAATCGAATAAAAAAATATCTTAATATTGACCGCAACCCATTTCGTTTCCATTGGTGATACTATTTACCGTTTTTGGTGAAAACTAAAAAGAAGCATTCTAATAATATCTCTATGAACCATATCGATTCGACCTTGCCTTTGATTGGTCTTTTTAATGTCTCACACAAAGCCTAACTCGGTTCGACCCATCAAGCATCAAATGCCCCCATTTTAAAATAAGATAAAATTTAAATGTTTTTAAATACAATTTAAAAATAAAAATAAATATTTTTTTAATGAAGCCGAACCGGACAGATCCACATTATCAAATATGCTCTAAAAATAAGCCGAATTTGTGCACGTGATTGGAATCATGACGTGTTGGTCGTCTCGCCGAAAATAAAAGCAATAAAGAGCGTTTTTGGAAAACACAAGGCCGGAAAGCCCATTACATTTCGGGGGAAAGCCCGCACGTGCAAGCCCCAGTCTCAAGAACAGGATGGACGAAGGGTAGACTACTGGGTACAGAAGCTTGTCAACAGATCAGGCCCCAAAAAAAAAAAGGTCATTTGTGAAAGGAACCGGCAACCCGTCACGAAGTATCAATCTCGAAAAGCCTAACAATTAAAAAATGTGGTTGGCATGCCGATTGCGATAATTGATATTGCATTGGAAAGGAAAAGATAGAAAATTTACAAATGACTGACGGGCTTCGAGAATGGATTAATCGAGCAGAATGAAAGGAAACTAGAGAAACAAAAAGCTATAAAAGGTTACTATCTGATAAATAATTTAAAAAAAAAAATGAAATCTCTTTTCTAAATAAAAAAAATATTTTAAAATATAAATTCAATGATATTATCTTTTAATATTATAGTGTTTCTTATGTGTAAGAGTTAAATTTTAATTTTTTGAAAAATATAATTTCTTCTTATACTTAAAAAACCTCTCCATTTATTATTTTCTAAATAAAAGGTACTAACATCCTGGCCAAAAAAAAGTACTAATCGTTAAAACTAACAACTATACATAAAGCGATGTTATATAAATATATAAAAATAAAAATTTTAAGTAAAAATGAAAAAAATCTAAAATGGATGATCTATTATTGTGATATATAGATGATTTTAAACAATCGACATGTGATTTTCATTAATTAATTTTATTTTATTTTATTTAAAATTTAAAATATTTCAATGCATTGATTATATTTAAATTATTTTTAAAAAATTAAATTAATTTTATTTATTTTTATTATTTATCTTAAATCACTTTCAATTAAATTCATATTAAAAGTAATAAAATTTTAATTGCTATCATTATAGGATTATTTTGTGTTCTCTTTTTTCAATTCTAATATTCAACTCTTAGATTACATTTACATAACAAAATTTTATTTTTCAATTTTAAAATCTATGATATATTTATTTAATACACCTTTTTAAGTTATATATATTATATTAATTTTAAAATGATTGATAGATAATCAAATCAATTACAACTAATTGTGGAATATATCAAATAAAATAAATTTCATTACCATTATTACGCTAATTTCAAAATCCTTATTTTTCTATTTCTCAAACAAGTTAAATACACAATATGTTTGATTATTCTAATTGTCAAGCATAAATTTCATATCTTATATAAATATAAAAACCAAAGCCTCTAACCAAAAAAAAAAAAAAAATCTGATGTGAATAGTCTACATTTTCGATATATGGACAATCTAAAAAATTGATATGTGTCCAAAATTAATTATGCATTTAAAATTTAAAATTTAATGGTTAAATAAATTTAATTTAAAATATTTTATTTCCATTATTATAAAACGCATTAGATAATTCTTATTAACATTTTATTTTAAATGATTAATTGACTAAAATAAATTAAAAACCAATTCAAGAGTAATCTTATATCTTGTATAAATATATAAAAGTCAAAATCTTTGATAAAAAAAGAAAAAATCCAAAGTGTATGGTCTATTCTTTTGACATTTAGAAAAGAATAACTACATGTACTATATTTAATTAGTTTTATTTGATTTCATATAAATTTTAAAATACTTTATATAATATATTTTATTTAATTATTTCTTTTTATATTTTCAATTGACTTACCTTTGATATCTATATGTGTGTGTATGTATATGTTTTAATATTGTTTAAATAAATAATACAAATTAATCCACATATTAAATGTTGCATAAATATATATATATATATAAATGTATATGAAATCAAATCAAAACAACTAAATATAAGATATGTGTCGATTGTTTAAAATAATCCACATGTCAAAAAAATAAATTATTCACATTGAATTTTGTTCTCTTTTACTAAGAGTTTTGATCACAACCCATATACATAAAATTTAACATTATAATGCACGATTGATTTTATAACAAAAACAAAAATTTAACGTTAAATGTATCATTAATATTATATAAATATATAAAATTATTATATTATTTATATATTTTTTTATACATGAATAACATCAATTACTCAGTTAGATATCATATTTAATCAAATATGAATATATCCAATAAATGATTAAAAAATGAACTACTAATCATAACTATAGTGGTTATTAAACTTTTTATAATGTTTCTGATTAAATTTTAATAGAAATTCTTTGAATCATTTAAAAAAAGGTTTAATGACCATAATTATAATATTTATTAATTCTTTGAATCATTAAGAAATTTTTTAATTATAATGTATTATTGATTTAGTTTTGATCTATAATTTATGATATTTTATTGGAAATAAAAGGTAAGTCAATTGAAAATTAAAAAAATAAATATAATTAATGTATTAAAATATTTTAAAATTTTTATAAAATCAAATAAATTCATACTAATTTAAAGAAAAATAAATATAATTAATACAAGATATATGACGATTGATAAAAGTTGTCCACATTTCAATATTATAAACTATCAACGTTGAACATTTTTTTTTTTCGCCAAAAGCTTTGGCTTTTATATATTTATATAAGATATATTTCATTTTCTTACAAAAATTTCAAATTTAATTATCCTTAATAATTATAGTTTGAAAGAAAAGTATATTGTTATATTTGAATTTAATTAATGCAATATGTTTTCAAGACAAAGATCTATTCTTCTTATTATTATTAATGCATAATTGTTATTTCATTTTTAATTGATTTATTTGTACAATAATTTTTTTATATAAACATAGTTTTCTCCACCAGTCAAGTTGACTCATCAAACTTTTTGAATGTTATACCATTCAAGGTAGATTAAATAAATTTTTTCTATCAAAGAAACTTTAGGAGATATTCTTGAAAGTTTGAGCAATTTCCTTCCTACATTTAGGGAAAAGTAAATATAAATTTAGTTAAAAGAAATATAATATTATTATATTAAATTTAATTAATTAAAATAATTTAATAAAAAAAAATCTCATACATCATAAACTAGTAATTATAATATCTATTGCCAAACATGACATAATAGATAAAATGACGCATACTCTTATTAAGGTTACATATACAACCATATTCTTTTATTGAAAAATATTTTTTATTATTGAAACAAATAATTGGATAATTGTATATATATTTCTATCATTTAATCTATAACGCATTTTTTTAATTGGGTCCTGGTTTCAGCCCCTCGTGTCTTACTAAACTTTATTTATTAAGAGGTTTGTCCGTCGGTGTTTAACACCTTTTTAAAAATAATTATTTATTTATTTTATATTAATGAATAATTCATGACTAAAAAAAGACACGCACTATATTACTTATAATTTTTTATAATGAATACATATTTTTTTAACAAAAAATAGGAAAATGTTCCATGAATGTATTAAGTACATGCATGGAAAATTTTAAAGTAAATTGTGAAGCAATTAAAGAAAGGGTCGTCGGCCTCTTGTCTCTCGTGTTTTGGAATTAGTGGCAAGGAAATCTCTTCCTTCCTACCGATTTGGTTGGTAAAGGGTGTCGTTTAGTGCAGTTGGGAAGTCGTTTTAATTGCATGTACGGTCACAATCCAACTACACGGGGAAATTTGGGACATAATAAGAATCTTTAATGTTTTTATTTTTCTTTGGTCCCCGAAACATCCTTACAAATGTCAAGCTTCAAACCTTTTGAATTTTAATAGATTATTAGTAACCAAGCAAAAATCAAGATAAATATTTTTTTTTTCGTTCTCTCTTACCCATTTTTCTTAGCTTTAAAAAGGATAGAAAAAAAAAATATATATATATATAACACGGATGTGAATAATTT